GTCGTAGCCCCGACCTCGACGGTCGCCGTGGCCCCTGTCGCGTCTGCCTTGGAGAAGAAGACAAAGAGTAAGGGGCCCTACATCTGCGCCCTGTGCGCCAAGGAATTTAAAAACGGCTACAACCTCCGGAGGCACGAAGCCATCCACACGGGAGCCAAGGCCGGCCGGGTCCCCTCGGGTGCTATGAAGATGCCCACCATGGTGCCCCTGAGCCTCTTGAGCGTGCCCCAGCTGAGCGGAGCCGGCGGGGGAGGGGGAGAAGCGGGTGCCGGCGGCGGCGCGGCCGCAGTGGCCGCCGGTGGCGTGGTGACCACGACCGCGTCGGGAAAGCGCATCCGGAAGAACCATGCCTGCGAGATGTGCGGCAAGGCCTTCCGCGACGTCTACCATCTGAATCGACACAAGCTGTCGCATTCTGACGAGAAGCCCTACCAGTGCCCGGTGTGCCAGCAGCGCTTCAAGCGCAAGGACCGCATGAGCTACCACGTGCGCTCACATGACGGCGCTGTGCACAAGCCCTACAACTGCTCCCACTGTGGCAAGAGCTTCTCCCGGTGTGCACGGGGCCTCGGCCGCCCGCTGGGCCGGTGGGGAGGGAGGGGCGGCCGCGGAGGTGGTCTGGCGGCGGCTGGCGGGGAGGGAGGCGGCTTCCGAGGATGGGGAAGGGGAGCTCCTCCCAGGGAGGAGGGAGGCAAGCCGCTCCCGGTTACCAGGGAGCAGGGGGTGGTCCTTTGTAGAGGAGGTGGGTCTTCAGGAGGAGGAGGAGGAAGCCGTGGTTGAGGGGAGGGGTTTCCTGCTCAAGTAGGACTTTGATGCCAGGGCATTGGGAAGGCCTGTTGTGCAGTGAGGCAGGTTTGGGGCGCGCCTAGGGGCCTCAGCCCTAACCCCAACCCCAACGTGTCCCCAGGCCGGATCACCTCAACAGTCACGTCAGACAAGTGCACTCAACAGAACGGCCCTTCAAATGTGAGGTAGGAAGCTCGCCTCCTCCTGTCCCGGTTTTCACGATTTTGATCCTCATTGTAGCTGCCTGAGTTCAGCCTCTCAGACCCCCTTTTTCTCTCTCTTCTTTTTGCCTTTTCACTCCATTTTCTCATCCCTTCTTCAAGGCCTCATCATCTCACACCCATTTCCTACAGATCAAAGATCCCCAAGGCTCTGATCCCTTTAACCTCTTGCTCCCCTCTCCCTACTCTCCGAAACTTTAACTCTCCTGTGACACCCCCCCACGCCCCTCCCCCCTCCCCAGAAATGTGAGGCAGCTTTTGCTACAAAGGATCGACTCCGGGCGCACACAGTACGACACGAAGAGAAGGTGCCATGTCATGTGTGTGGCAAGATGCTGAGCTCGGCTTATATTTCGGACCACATGAAGGTGCACAGCCAGGGCCCTCACCATGTCTGTGAGCTCTGCAACAAAGGTACGTGCTGAGGGAGGCCGGGAGGGCCAGGGACAAAGGGTGGCCACAAAGCCAGAGGCCCTTCTACAGATGTGGGTTATGGGTGCTGTAGCCAAGAGCTCGTGGCATCTAGAGCCCTTTAGGAAGCAAATGAAGTAGTATTGGGGATGAGTGAACATCATTAAGTTCCAGCAAGTCACGGCTGGATGAGACGATCTACTGGAAAGACTGAACCTCTCGGGTGTGCGTGGGGAGAAGGGGAGTGGGACATGGCTGCTTTGGGGAAGGAATGGTCAAGAGAGCCAGTTCCCAAGGGTCAGAAGGCAAGGTTTCAGCTGTGCAGCCACAAGTTCTTGTCTCCAGCTCCCAGGGCAAGTGGAGAACCTCAGCAGGGGTGTAACAAGCACACACCCTGCCTCAGTAGCAGAGATAGCTGCTTTTAAGCAGACTCACGTTTTCAGTGACTTACTGGGCTGAGACTGTGGGGCACCTTAGGGAAGGGACACAGCCGACTCTGAGAGTTAACCCTTCGAGGGGCTAGGAATCAGTGTCATCCCGGGACAGATCTCCCAGCCACAGAGAATGAGCTTTGTAGGTACCAAGACTGAGAAGGGGACACCACTCAAACCAGACCCCAAGTTCAGGGAGGGGCTGTGCCCCCATCAACCCCAGCAGAGTAGTTGGCCCCAGGTTACCAAGGATGTGGTGGGAGGAGGACAGGACCATTTGAAGAGGGCATCCCCAGCCTAGGAGAACAGCCCCGTCTCTGGGGTCTCCACCTGGCTGACCCCCATCCCCATCCCAATCCACCCCCCCCCCCATAGGCTTCACCACGGCAGCATACCTGCGCATCCACGCGGTGAAGGACCATGGGCTCCAGGCCCCGCGGGCTGACCGCATCCTGTGCAAGCTGTGCAGCGTGCACTGCAAGACCCCTGCCCAGCTGGCCGGCCACATGCAGACCCATCTGGGGGGGACCGCCCCCCCTGTCCCGGGAGACGCCCCCCAGCCACAGCCCACCTGCTGAGGGGGACCCCTGCACCCACCAGGCAAGGCGTGGGGCATGGCTGGGGGGTGGGATGGGAGTGTGGGACAGTGTGGCTCAAAGGGCCCAATAGGGGATCTCAGGAAGGCCAGGGATGCCCATCTGTCACTCAGGTTAGGGAGACTTCTGGGGACAGGGAGGGCCCTTCAGGACAATTGCTCTGTCTGGGTGAGGATGCAGACCACAGCTTCTGGGGACCAGATAGGAAGTGAGCAACGGCTGTGTCCCAGGGAAAGTAGTGTGGGGAAGAGTCTAGGGTGAGGGGCAAGGCTCTTGCCATGCAGATCGCGCTGTGATCTCGTGCTGTTTCTCACTGCAGGTACTGGTGAGGTTTGTCCAATGGCGGCAGCGGCGGCGGCGGCGGCGGCGGCGGCAGCAGCAGCAGCGGTGGCAGCCCCTCCTACAGCTGTGGGCTCCCTCTCTGGGGCTGAGGGGGTGCCTGTGAGCTCTCAGCCACTTCCCTCCCAGCCCTGGTGAGCTCCAAGTTGGTGGGGGGAGAGAGGGGAGAGTGGAGGAAAGTCCCTTGGTGCAATCTCCTCTCCCCCGCTCTCTTCCCACCAACTCCTCACTACTTCCCCCACCAACCAAGGAGCCTCCAGAAGGAAAGGAGGAAGAAATGTTTTCTTAGGGGAATTTGCTAGGTTTTAATGATTTGTTTCTCCTGCTCCTCTCTTCTCCCTATCAGACCTGACCCCACACACACCTGTCCCCTTGGTTGTGTTGAAGTCCCCTGGACGGTGGGCAGGGGTGGCAGAGGACAGGAGCAGCCACTGCCCTTACCCCTCTCCTCTCTGTAATCCCCTGCCCGCCCAGGGATTCGTGAGCCTTTCCCTCAATGGTCCTTCTTGCTCTCCTCCTCCAGTACTCTCCCCCTACTGTCTGCTGACCCTCCCTGGGGAGTTGGTGCTTTCTTTTTTTTTTTTTTTTTTTTTTTTTCCCGGGGGGGAGGGAGGAGAGGAAGGAGGGGAATACAAAGATTCTGTCCCAGAGAGGGAAAAAGGTGAGATTGGAGATGGGGCAGAAGCAGGGTAGGCAAAGATTGTACCTTCATGACGTAGGGTTGTTTGGGGTCAGGCCCTAAACATCATCCTACCTGAGAATCTGTCAGGGGGAAAAAGAGGCAAGGGGGCAAAAGGAAGAGCCACTGGGGCCAGAGGCAGAACAGGAGATGGAATCTTAGGGGGCCAGGGTAACTGAGGGGATCCAGGGACTCGAGGTGCTTCCTGGGGTGGGGGGAATGCAGCCACAGTGTCTCCCCCTTCCCTCTTCCACCCCAGCTCCACCCCTGGTCTTTTCACCCCTCTTCCCCACAACAGAAGCTGTGGCCCTGGCCATGTCATCGTGTTCCTGTGTCCCCTGCATGTTCCCCACCCTCCACTCCCTCCTCTTGCGCGGATCCCATTACAATAAATTTTAAATAAAAACCTGTCTCTGGCTCTGAGTTGAATGGATTGCCCTCTGTCCCCACTCCCGAGGGGTTTCTTCTTGGGCCTGGTTTCAGTCCCAGCCTTGCTCTGGCCCCTCCCACCCCAGGGGCTGCCCTAGTGGCTGCAGCACAGATTTAGTGTGGGGTCAAGCCTTCAGTGTCTGTGGAGAGCAAATCCAGGACTCCCAGGTCTCCGGAATACCCAATCTGGACAGGCCCAGAATAGTCACTGGAGATTCGAAGAGGCCCAATTAAAAACCCAAACAGCTGCTGTGCATAAATGCTGCCCTCGCCTATCCATACCTATGGCCTGCTGCTCAGATACCAAATACCTGCCCGCCCTTACGTCCCGAGAGGTGATGATTTGGCTGCAGAAAGTTGGGGGCAGTAAGGTTGAGAGTGAAAACCGTACTTGGCATGGCCCACCCCGCGTTTATGATGGCTCCTCTGCCCCAGCCCTTCCTGCTGTTCTGGGCCGTCGCTGCAGCCTCTGCCTTGCCCCTTGGAATTGCCTTTCCCGTCCTTTCCAGGGGCCCTTTCTTGAGCCTTCCAGTATCCATTTCTGCTGCTTCCTTGGGGGTAGGAAGACTTCCTGTTGTGCAGACTCCCTCCTCTTGAAACCTCACCCTGCTCCTCTGCAGCCTCCCCTAGTTTCGCCCCATATCCCTTACCCTCTTTCTGCTCGTAGGGGTGTCTCCACCCGGTCCTGCCTGCCTCACTGGTTCCGTCTCTCCTCGCAGACCCCTCTCCTTTTCCCCTAACCCTCTGTCCCTGCCAGGACCCCCGGTGACCGTTGGCGGGTGGGGCCGAGGACTTAGGGGGCGCCCCGCAGCGAGGCGCGCGTGGGAAATGGCAGGGAGGGGAAGCGAGTGGTCCCCGGGCTGGTTGCCTGGGTAACGCGTGGCTCTCTAGGGCTGGCCGGGAGGGGCCGGAGGCGTGCAAGGGGCGGGGGCGGCGCATCAGCGGTAGAGCGTAGGGGAGGGGACCAGAGAGGAGGGGACGAGCAAACCGGAGGGGAGGGGAGGGGAGACCCGCCACCTCCCTTCCGCACTTCTCGCTTGCTGACTTGCTCCCTCCCGGGCTGCGGCTGCTGCAACGGCGGCAGCGGCGGGAGCAGTCCGGAGGCCGGCGTCGAGGTGAGACTGGGATGGATGAGGCTGCGGGTAGGACTGGACCGACAGACGGTGGATGCCAGGCGGGTGTCACAGGAATGCGGGACCCTGGTGGGCTGGCTGGTGGTGCTGGGCACGCTGCATCATCGCATCATCGGGAGGAGGAGGTGCCGGCTCGCCAAGGGCGAGGGAATCCCTGGGAGAGGGGCTGAGAAGGGGCTAGGAGATGCCTAGGTCCCCCAGGGAAAGGCTGGGGTGTCTGCGCCCAAAACGCGCAGCAAGAAAACTGCACCGCCTGGGCGCGCAGAGAGGAGGGGAGGGTGCAGCTGGAGTGGAATGTGAGCGTCGGGTCCTCTGCCCAGGCTGCCTGTCGGAGTGTCCGGGTGTCTGTACACCTTGTTGATTTTGGGGTGCTGGGGCATCAGCTGGGATCTGAGAGTCTGGATATTGTGTGTGGACCCAAGCAGAGTCCCTGGGCAGGGTCCTGTTTACAAAAGGGTTAATCTTCCCAGAGCTCTCCAAGCAGAATTCCAGTAGAACACTCCTTCCCCAGGGATGTCCCACCCCAAGGCAAAGGGAACCCCAACTTTTCTTCCTGTCCCCAGAGGCACAAGGCTGGCCCTGTGACAGGAGCATGGCTCATTTGTGTCTGCAGTGCCTCGAGCCAGTCTTCCCTCCTCACACCAAGCCTGTCTCCCCTCCTCACACCAAGCCTGTCTCCTCCTCTTCCAGGATCTGCTGCTGTCTCTGCCGTTCCACCCTCCCCACAGAGGCCCTCTCCCCTCTCCCATCTCAAGATGGCAGCCAGCAGCTCTGAGGTCTCTGAGATGAAGCAGGTTGAGGAGAGTCCTGAGACCCAGGGAGAAGGGTCTGGCCATTCTGAAGCTGGAACTGGCCCTCTCCAGGTCCTAGCAGGGGACCAGCCAGAGGCCATGCAGCCAGGCCCAGTCACCACTGTGGCCCCTGTGGACTCAGGGCCCAAGCTTGGGCTGGCTCCAGAAACCACAGAGACCCCTACTGGGGCCTCAGAAACAGCCCAGGCCACAGACCTCAGCTTAAGCCCAGGAGGGGAATCAAAGGCCAACACCAGCCCCGAAGAAGCATGCCAAGAGCTAGCATCCAAACCAGAAGTGAGCAAAGAGGCCACTGCAGACCAGGGGTCTGAGCTGGTGTCTGCAGCCCTGCCTGAGCCAGCCTCAGAGCCTCCTCCCCAGCTAGACCCCCAGCCAGGTTCTCAGGACACCCCCAAGCCAGCTCTTCATCCAGAGTCCCCTACCCAGGAGGACCCCACCCCTGAGGTCCTGACTGAGATTGCAGAGGAAAAGCAAGAGAATGGGGCAGTGGTGCCCCTGCAGGCTGGTGATGGGGAAGAGGGCCCAGCTCCTCAGCCTCACTCGCCACCATCAACAAAAACCCCCCCAGCCAATGGGGCTCCCCCCCGCGTGCTACAGCAGCTCATTGAGGAGGACCGACTAGGAAGGGCTCACAGTGGGCATCCAGGATCTCCCAGAGGGAGCCTGAGCCACCACTCCAGCTCCCAGCTGGCAGGGCCTGGGGTGGAGGGGGGTGAAGGCACCCAGAAACCTCGGGACTACATCATCCTTGCCATCCTGTCCTGCTTCTGCCCCATGTGGCCTGTCAACATCGTGGCCTTCGCTTATGCCGTCATGGTGAGCCCCATGGGACCCTGGCCCAGACCTGCTGTGGCTCCCAGCTTCCCGCCAGCACACTGGGACAGAGCCCCAAGAGTAACCACGCCTTCCCTTCCCTGTCTGCATGGATCCCCCTTCCCCGATGACAGGGCCTTTGCTTGCCTCTCCCCAGGACCTAACCCTCTCAACCACCACTGCCCTTACCCCTTCGGGTGGGAGGGAAATGGAAATGCCTGTTTCACACAGCCTTGCTGACCTCTGCCCTCCTCCTGCCTTTCCAATCCTCCTTCCTCCCTTAACCGCTGCCCATGGGGCTGGCCTCTCTCCTCTGGACTACTCTTTCACCTGATCCCTGCTGGGCTGGCTCCTCCTGACTCGGCCATGTTGCCTTCACCCCTGACCCTAACCCCAGTCCCGGAACAGCCTGCAGCAGGGGGACGTGGATGGGGCCCAGCGCCTGGGCCGTGTGGCCAAGCTCTTAAGCATCGTGGCGCTGGTGGGGGGGGTCCTCATCATCATCGCCTCCTGCGTCATCAACTTAGGAGGTGAGTGAGGGTCTGGAATAGGCAGGGGAGGAGTGGAAGGATTGACAAGGGCAGCTTTACTAACCCCTGCCCCTGCTCTCTCCTGTCTGTCCTCCTTACTTCTCCTTTGTCTCTCCTTGTCTCCCTGTCCCCTTCTCCGTGTCCGTCTGTCCTTCCCTCTCCTCTCCCACAGTGTATAAGTGAGGGGCTCTGCCCTGCATTACAAGACTCTTCTGTTGGGAGCTGCCTTGGGCCCATCCCCCCACCCCGGGGAAGCCCAATCGATGGCCCTGGCCCCCACCCCTAGGGACCAAGGGAGCCTGAGCGGCCTTGTTTACAGCTTCTTTCCTGCTCCTGCATCCTGCCAGGCTCCTCTGCCAACCGTAGGCCTCTCCTTCTCTCTGCACTGTTTCCAACTTCCCTGCACTTCTGCCTGCATCCCCTCTAGCCTCTTGGCCTCCTATCCCTGCACTTCTGGAAACCTCCCTGAACATCTCCCAAACTCTGCACTCTCAGCCTCCCTGCATCTCTCCCAGCCTCCCTGCACTTCTCCCAGCCTCCCAAATTCTTCTGAACCTCAACCCTGGCCTCTCCCTCCCAACTTTCCTTGTCTTGACATCTTCCACATTCCTTTCTTCCTTCCCTTCATCATCTGCCCTTCCCTATCCACATCCCCGCCCCCTTCCTCTTCCTGCCTCCTCTTCTCCCCTTAGCATCCTCTTCTCCACCCTTCTGCCACCGTTTATTCTGCAAACACCCTAGCACTTAGATCAGGCTGGGGGAGGGGGAGCTGTGTCGCGAGAGGGCTCCGACTGTTCTCTGCTGGGACCACCCAGGCCTAGATGCCCCCAGAGTGCCTTGCTGGTCGCAGAGCAGGCATGCCAGGCCTTGCTTGGGGACTCGTGTAAGGGTGGCGAACACTGGTTTCAAACATGCACGGGAAGAAGGGAGGGGCGCGGCGGCTGACCCGCCCATCTGGGCTTTTAAAGCCATCAGCAAGTTTCTCTCTTGAAGATGTGGGGGTTCGGGTCATTCACGTGATTTGTAACAAAAAGAATCCAAAAAATAGGACCAAACCTCCCAGCTACAGGGAGCGAGGGAGAGGCGGGGAGCTCTATAATTATTTTCTAAGAGGACGAGGGAGGTTTGTTGCACGCGACAGCCCGCGGAGGAGGCGGGGACCGAGCTACGACGTGGTTCAGAGTTGGCCGGTTTTTTGCTTTCCAAAAAAAGTCGGGAAAAAACTAAAATTCAAGAAAAAGAAAAGGATATATCAAACTGATTCTCCCTTTTTGTATGCCGGATGCTGCATGAGTCTGAAACACCAATAAACAGAGACTGCATGAGACTCGTCTCCAGTCTCAGTTGGTCTTTACGTTCGTCTCGTCGGGCCAGCGGTACTGCCTGCCTACCGGCAGAACCTACTGGGTGGTGTACGCATGCGCCACCCTGGTGGCCATCTTTACTGTGGGCCGAAGCCTGCTATGCCCGAGCGCCTACCTGCGCATGTGCAATCCATCCCTTGCTTTCCTTTTCCAAGTAGCTTTGACTAGAGAGGAGCCTCCCGCGCTATTTCTGTGCGCCTGCGTACTGTGACCCTGCGCAGCCCGGGAGGCGGGTCTTATTTCCAGGTTCGTACGGCTGCTGAGTTGGTGCGGCCCAGAGTTACGAGGTCTAGGGAAAGGGCGCCACATCACGGCTGGAGAGGGGCGGTGTGCAGGCGAGAAGAGTGGGCCCGCCCCTCTCCTTCCCCTCCGGCTCTGCGGGTCCCCGAGAACATCGGAGTACCGGATCTCGATCCGTGGGGCGGGGTCCTTGGAGGGGACTGAGCGCCCTCTGCCGGGGACGGGAGGTCTGGCCGCGGAAACAGCTGTTGGAGTCTGATTGGTTGAGAGACTTTCCCTAAACCTTTGGGGAGCCCGATCCCGGGGGGCGGGGGGCACCCCCGGCTTAGTACTCCAGTATCTCTTATCATCGCAGGGCCCCTTCCCTAGTGGCCTATGTCCCTTGCCCGGGGTCATGGAGACGCTGCAGCCACCACGGCGACGCCTCTGTCCGAAGAAGGGGAAGTGACCTCCGGTCTCCAGGCTCTGGCCGTGGAGGACACCGGAGGTCCCTCTGCCTCGGCCACTAAGGCCGAGGAAGAGGGGAGAGGAGGCGGTGAGGAGGCCGAGCGTGAGGGGTCCGGGCCCGAGGACGCGCAGGGAGAAGCCCCCAGCGCTGGGGGGGAAGAGCTTGCCGAGGGAGAATCCGAGGACTGGTGCGTGCCCTGCAGCGATGAGGAGGTGGAGCTGCCCGTGGATGGACAGTCCTGGATGCCCCCGCCCTCCGAAATCCAGCGGCTCTATGAACTGCTGGCTGCCCACGGTACCCTGGAGCTTAAAGCCGAGATCCTGCCCCGCCGGCCTCCAACGCCCGAGGCCCAGAGTGAAGAGGAGAGAACCGATGAGGAGCCGGAGACCAAAGAAGAGGAAGAGGAAAAGTAAGGACACACCCTCACACCTTGTCCCTTCGGCTTCCCCCCTGATGCCGCAAGGAAATAGGAAGGGGGAGAAGGGAGGGGTCCAGGGGCATGGAAAGTGGAGGGAGGAGCCAACGGAAGATCCTGCAGATTGGGGAGAAGCGCCAGTGTGGGTGCTCGGAAGGGCCCCCCTCACCCTTCCCTCTCTGCCCACCTGTCCCAGACCGCACATGCCCACGGAATTTGACTTTGATGATGAGCCCATGACTCCAAAGGACTCCCTGATCGACCGGAGACGCACCCCAGGTACAAACAAGAGGGAACAGTTGGGGGAGGTGAAGGGCCTCTGCTTTCCAGTTACCCAGAAAGTAGCTCCCTTAAAGAGGCCTTGCTGTGTGCCTCAGTTGTCACACAACTTCTAGCTGCAGGAGAGAACATTCACCCAGTGGCACCATCTTTCTGGCTTAGGTTAATACCCTATCATTCTTTGTGGCCATCACAGATAATTCTATCATGTTTCCCATTCCTTTCATCATCTTAGAAGTCCAAGTCCTCCTGGTCATTCATTATTATCTAGATCCACATCTCTATACTACTGTGCACGTCACCTAATCTGACCCAATTTCCCACCCCACATGACTTCCTAGAATTTACCCTCGGGGCCATTCCTCATTTCTCTTTCTCTTACCCACACATTCAGGCCAGCAGCAGATCCAGTTAGCTCTGCCTCCACATTTCCAAGTCCATTGCTACTCTACACCTTCAATACCATTCTTATCCAAGCCACCATCTCTCTTGCCTGGATAGTTGCAGTAGCTCCTAACTGATTTTCCTGCTTCCAGTCTCAGCAATCAGAATGATCTTTTTAAAACATAAATTATGTCACTTTCTATTTAAAATCATTTAAAGGATTCCATTACTGGGGGAAAGAAAATATCGGGAGAATCCAAGTTCCTCCTCCCTGCCAACTCTCTACCTTCTCTGTTCCTGCCCTGAGGCCTTTGCACTGGCCCTTCCTCTGCCTGATATATTCCTGGTCTTTGCATTACTGGTATCTTCTCATAATTCAGGACCTTCACCACCTGCCCTATCTGTGGCCCAACCCCAAACCTCAGAAGCTTCATGACAGAGGCCTGGAAACATGTTTGTTTAACAAGCTCCCCAACTGATGGGTAAGGTTCAGAAAGGTCTGGTGCATGCTGCCTCAATCCCTTCCACATCTCTTACCTTCTTCTCCAGGAAGCTCAGCCCGAAGCCAGAAACGGGAGGCCCGCCTGGACAAGGTCCTCTCAGACATGAAGCGACACAAGAAGCTGGAGGAACAGATCCTTCGGACCGGGAGGGACCTTTTCAGCCTGGACTCAGAGGACCCCAGTGCCAGCAGCCCCCCACTCCGGTCCTCAGGGAGTAGCCTCTTCCCCCGGCAGCGGAAGTACTGACTGCTGCTGCTACTGACTCTAGGCCTGCTGGGGTCTGGGCCCTCCTTCCCTAAGCCAGGATGCTGGGAAAATTGGGAAGAAGAGAGAAACCCCACGCTCCCAACTCCGCACACTGCAGGGAAGAGGGAGTCTGTGTATTTGTTTTCTGTTGAACATCTGCTTGGAGACCTGGGCTGAATTTTCTGTGTAAAATAAAAGATACAGAGTTATCTTCTCTTAAGAAGAGGGGCTACAGCTGGAGTCTAAACAATTCACCACATTTGAGAGGAGAGGTGGGATTCTATTCACCTAGATTGGAAAATTAAATCCAGATGGGACAGAGGGGGACTCAGTCAGCACCTGCCCCCTGCCTCAGGTTCACTGACTTTTTCCAGTCTCATTCCAGCGCTACCAGCTGGCTCTGGGGCAGAAATTCCTAAGCGCAGAATGGGCTGCTCTGGGGTGCCTTCAGCTGCAGCAGAAGCAGCCCAGAGGAGAAAATGAGAACCAGCTGCCAGGGCCCTTTAAGCACCCAAGCCCCACCCACGGGCCTGCCCTGCCCTGCCCTGCCGGGAAGTGATCCTGTGGCTGGGCGAGGGAGTTTCCTGATCTGAGGAGTCTGTTGCAGCTAGCCACACTTCTAGATGTGAGTTCGTTGTACTGGTCTCCAAACCCCAAACCAGTGGTGGGTCTCTGTGCCCCTCAAGGCTCGCTTTAGCTCCGTCCTGCTGTCAAGGGCCTTCTGTTGGTGCAATTAAGACCTCTCTGAATCGGAGAAGGAAGGTAGGTGGGCTCTGCCAAGGGAGGTTTTGCTTTCCTTGTCGGAGTTTTCTGGGTGTAGAGGCAAAGGCAGATAGATCAGCTCATCAGCACTGCCTCCAGCCCCCTTCTAAATCTCAGGCCTCTCTGACTTTAGAGTCCCACATCAGAAGTAAGGGGGATAGGGCTGGCCATTTAGCTCAGTTGGTTAGAGCATGGTGTTAGAACACCAGGGTCAAGGATTCGGATCCCCGTACCAGCCAGCCACCCCCCAAAAACACACAGAAAATAAGGAAGGGGGGACCTTAGGAGATCCATTTGGACTCCATCTTGGAGCTAGATTAGTCCTTGCTGTACTCACCTGCCCCCTCCCCCTGGGGACCCGGGCTTTGGACTTGAACTCCTAGAATGTGACCTGTCCCCATTGGGACCCCTCAGCTCTGCCAAATGTTGGGGCTTTCCTTCTGCCCCGTGCACGGCTATGCCAACTGTGGGCCTTGCCAGATCACTTGAGAAGTCATTAGCAGAGTGATCTCGAGGTAGGATCAATTTCCAGAAGGCATAGACTTTGGTGAGCAAGGATCTTTTCTTTTTGGGAGGGGGAAGTGAAAAACAGGAAGCTCAGTTGGACCCACCAGCCTGTGATTCTCGGGATCTTAGAGCTGTCAGTCTGGACCGAAGCACTTTGGGATGGATGATGGTAATTGAGGCAGCTGTTCCCAGTGTTCTCTGCTCCCTGCCTGGGTGAACCCCTGGGTTATGGAGGCAAGGCTGGCTGTCACGTGGGGTGCCAGGTGGCTCTCCCTGGAAACTCCTGCCTGTTTCCACCCATGGCATACAGGGCACCTGGCCTTCCCTGCCCTGGGGTGTGGCTATCTAGGCAGGGCAGCTTTCCATAGTCATGAGCAGGTAGGGCAGCCACCATGAGTGGATGGCCCAGAGACAGCCTAAGGACTTCAAGGTAATTGGGTGCTCAGGCCTTCTAGTTTGGTGCTGCCTTCCCAGATTCTAGGGGAGCAGAGGCTGGGCACTGGCTCAGATTGCAGAAAACGCTCACCTTTGAACTGCCATTGGTGCTGTCTCCTGGGCAAAACCCAGCCCCACCCAGGCTCTTAAGTCCTTGTTCCAGGTCCAGAATCATCAATGTTTTTGCCTAAGAAGCCACTCTGCCTTCTGGTTTGGGGGCTTTGCAGTTACGATATTCAGGGTAGAATTCTGGCTCCATCCTTTGATAACTGTGTGATCCTGAGCAAGTTCTGTAACTTCTGTGTTCTTGTGAGAATATGAGTTGATTAAGGACACAACACAATGCCTGGCACAGGTTAAATTTGTATTAAGTGGGAGCTGTTATTTATGGGCACTTGCATAAAATGCACGTTTCAGCGTATCTCTCCTGGAAACCCTGATCCAGTGGGTCTGGGGTGAGGCATGGGAAAAGCTTGAGCAGGATTAAGAATCCCAGGCAAGTCCTGTAATTGGGTAAGTTTAGAAAATGTTGATAAAAACAAACCAATAATTTTTTTTTAATTTGAAATAGAAAATGTTGATGTATATCTAGCATTCTGAAACCTGTTTCCCGGGTCACTCCTAGTCTATGCAATTCTCACCTTCAATGATTGGCATTAATTGGCAGCACCTGGGAGGGAGGGAGGTGGCAGGATAAGCAGAGTCCAGGGCTGGCAGAGCTGCCCTGCCCCTAGTGAGGCCATCAAGCTGTCCCCACCTCCACTCCCCCTGCTAAAGTGGCCCAATTGGGATGGAGCTCAAATAAGATTTTCTTAGGAAGAAAAGTTCCTGAAACTCTGCCACTTAAAGTGATTTATATGAGACAAATTCTCAGTTTCCGTTAATAGTCCCTTAAAACTGGAAACAGTTTCAATAAGCCAAAAAAATGCCAGGTGAAAACAGGCTCTCTGCAGTTTCTGACTCATGTGACTCTCTCATCCCCTGGACAAAGACTAGAACATTTAACCTAAAATCAGTGAAAGAAAACTCTGCAAAGATGAGTCCCTCTTTATGCTGTACTTCATGCACCTTTCCCTAAACCTAAGGTTGGTGGAGGTCTGGTGGCAGGGCTGTGTCACTGGCCTCACCTCCACCTTCAGGCCTCCCTGGCCAAGAGCCCAGGTGTTGGGGACAAAGGGCGCTGCTTAGATCTGGGATAGGAGAAGGAGCTGGAGGAGAATAAGTGAAATTCCCTGCCCTTGAGGCTGAGTCTGTAATCTTTTTTTTTTTTTTTTACTATCATTTTTTTTTTCAGTGTGTAACCTGAGCTCATCTTCACTCTTCCTCCATCTAGCTACTATTTGTTGCAGTCCTACTGTGCATTAGAGATATGCTCCATTCTCTAACACCTTTAACTTCAGCAAACAGTCCCGTTTATTCCCACTTCACAGTCCAGGAAAGGAAGGCTCAGAGGTTGATAAGCAGCCCAAGACTATGCTGGCAGTGTCAGAACCTGCTGGATTGACATTTTCCCCACTTGTCTTAGTCCGTTTTGTGTTGCTATAACAGAAATACCTGAGACTGGGTAACTTATAAAGAAGAGAGGTTTATTTGGCTTATGATTCTGGGACAGCTGCGCCTGGCATGGGCCTCAGGCTGCTGCTACTCATGGTGGGAAGTGGCAGGGAGCTGGTGGGTACAAGCAGATCTCACGGCGAGAGGAAGTGAGAGAGAAGGTGCCAGGGTCTTTTTAAGCAACAAGCTCTCGCGGGAGCTAATAGAGCGAGAACTCACTCATTAATCCCCCCTCCCCCAGGGAGAGCATTAATCCATTCACGAGGGATTCGCCCCCATGACTCAATCAGTTTCCAACACTGCCACATTGGGGATCAAATTTCCACATGAGTTTTGGAGGGGACAACACATCCAAACTCCATCACCACTGGTTCTCAATTCTGGCTGTATATTAGAGTCAGCAGGAGAGCTTTTAAAAATAGCAATGCTTAGAGCCAGCGCATGGCTCACTCGGGAGAGTGCGGTAGTGATAACACCAAGGCCACGGGTTTGGACCCTATATAGGGATGGCCGGTTGGCTCACTGGCTGAGTGTGGTGCTGACAACACTAAGCCAAGAGTTAAGATCCCCTTACCCGTCATCTTAAAAAAAAAAAAAAAAAAAAAAAAAAAGCAATGCTTAGACCCCACCCCAGACCAATTAAATCAGAATCATTAGAGATGGGTGGCTTTAAAAGGTCTCCAGGTGACTCTAATGTGTAGTCTGGGTTGAGAGTGGCTGCTTTAGACTGGAGCTGCTCATACTGTAAAGTGTGCGCAGATCATCGGGGATCTAGTTAAAATGCTGATTGATTCTGCAGCTCTGGTGGGGCCCAGGAGTCTTCCTCACTAACAAGCTCCCAGGTGGGGCTGGACTGCTCACTGTGGGCCACATACATACACTGCTCATTGTGGGTCACTTTGGCATTTACTGTTTCAGAGTCACTCACTCACTGTGTCAGCCTCTCACAGTTGACCCTGAGGATCTCTGATACGTTGTGACTCATTTATTTATTCATTTTTCTTGAAGCATAAGTTTTACTTCTGAGTCAAGAGACTGGGATAAAGAGCCTGTCTTTTGGCTTAGGGTGAACCCAGCTTCTGCTTCTGACAGGCTGTTTAATTCTTTGCCCACCCACCCATTACTCCTTGTGAGGCGGAGGTGCACTGAGACTTTGAGTGAAGTTGGCTGTGCTTCTTGCAGGAGCCTCATGACATTTGAGGGACGTGTGCTCAGACAAGGCTGGGCATATGCCCCCCAGAGCCAATTAGGGGGCAGATCTCAGAAGCAGGGACTAAGGGAGATGGGTGAGTAGATTTGGGGAGGTGGGGCCAAACCCAAGGGCTGGGCAGGACCTTCCAAAGGTCAGCACAATCCTTAGCCATTGTCTTTTGAGGGCCCCAATGTAGAAGTAAAATGCCCTAACTGTACATATCATCTGATAAACCACAAGAGCCTGAATCTGAGACTTGTCACGAACGTGCTGCCTGAGTCAAATAGTTTCCCTGGTCTACCTCCGAGGATGGCAAGGGTCTTAGAAAGACAGAGCCTGCTGTGAGTGAACTTGGCAGGTGGCCTAAGTGGAAGGCACAGCTTTAGGGCATGGCAGATGGGTGGCCACGGAGGTAAGGCGGGGTCCTCATACTGCCACAGGGGCAGTTGGCAAGGGCTTGGCCTCAGAGCAAAGCGGGAGCCAAGCCCAGCCAGCCATGAGGATGACTGTCGCTGAGTCACTGTGCTGGCCAAGGCTCTCAGCCCCCCTGACTGGGTCCAGCTGGGGTGGCAGATGGTGGAGAGGCCTCAGCCTTCAGGGGGTGAGGGGTCATCCAACAAGTAGCCAGTGGAGGCTGTTCCCGAAGCCTTCTTCCAACCTCGCGTGTCTTCTAGAGTTCAGATCTTCCCCGCAAGGCTTCAGCCCTGTCCCCACCTCCGCCTACAGCCCTAGCCCTTCCTCTTCCCCATCTGGTTTTCGGGCCAGGTTTCTACCCACAGAGAACCAGGCAAAGCAGCAGTGGGAAAAAGCCTCCCTTGGCTATCGGCTGCCCCTGTTCTGCTGCTCTAGCTCCACAGCTGGGGTGGCACAAAACTTGTGCCTTTCTGCCCAGTGAACAGGTGAGGCTTAAGCCAGGGTGCCAGGTGGGGTAATGAGCCTCAGGTGCTGGTCATGTCCCCTCATCTCCTCACTGGATAGGAAAGTTGGGCCTCGGGTGCTGTTTCCTCCTCCATAGTAAAGCACATAGTGCTACGGAGAGCCAGGCTCTGTTCTGAGTGTTCTATATATTTAAATCAGATCTCAGAATTCTGAGAGAGATGCTGTTATCCATTCTCATTGTGCAGGTGGGGAAACAGGTACAGGGAGGTCAAGTGGCTTGACTCAGATGGCCTGTTGCATAAGGGTTAGAGCCAAGGTCCAGGCAGTCGCAGCCAACCCTGTGGACTCTTAGAAGTAGACCTTCTAGATAGAACAGGGCCTCATACCGTGGAGCAACTGGGGAGTGGAAGCAAGGCTGGGCAGGACGGGCCAATAGAGAGGAAGGAAAGAGAAGGTGCACATAGAAGTGGGGAGGAGAACACAGCCAGGAAACCAGAAAAGCGAGCCCCTGTGTTCTCCAACAACAGAAGAGGGAGCTCTGACATTAGAAAAGCCACCCCCTACAAGTTAAGGGAAACGAAGTTCAAGTGAAATGAGCAACAGAGAAGGTCAAATCCCATACAAAGTTGCCATATAAAAGAATGAGGAGCAGAAGAACATTCCTCTGATGTGCAAAGTGTACCAGGAAAACAGATCAAAACTGTAATCTCTTTCAAAAGGAGGTAAGACGTTAAGGAAACAATATGATGCACGAAAACAGCAAATCAGAGTTGCAAGTCCAGGCAGTGTGGGTCTGAGTCCACACCCCTGACCACTGTGCCATGCTGCCTTTTGAGAAAGACGGAACCAGACATTCCATCAGGGTTCTAGTCCTGATAGTACCACTAACTTGCTTTCTGGCCATGAAGGATTCATTGTCCCTGAGTTTCAACTACTTAGAGCTACACTGTTCAATGTGGGATCAGCCAGCTACATTGGGCTATTTAAATTAAAATTTATTAAAATAAAAAATCGAGTTCCTCAGATGGACTAGCCACAATTCAACTATTCAGCAACCACATATGGCTAGTCCAAAAACAATGTAGATTTAAAATATTCTCCTGGGTGTGTTTGGTGGCTGGCTGGTATGGAGATCGAAACCCTTGACCTTGGTGTTATAACACTGTGCTCTAACCAACTGGGCTAACTCATCCATCATTGTAGAAAGTTCTCCTGGACAATGCTGAGTTAGAGGATTTTAAACAGGAGCCAGGCTGGTGATATGAGTGTAATTGCCCAGGTGTAAGACAATAGGGAGTGCTGTGGACTGTGGTTATCAGGAAAGCTTGTGTCCCATCTAAAGGGGACAGCCGCCAATGGGCTTTTGCCAATTTTGCCACATGGGAATGTGGGCCCAGTGTTTTATTGCTAGTCTCCTAATTCTTCAAGAGAACCAGGAATTGGGAGTTTGTGAAAATTCACAATTTCTAAACAAAAAATTGAAATTTTACAGATTGTGTGGATCAAGTAAAAGTCTTCTCCTAAGTCTACTTCTTCCAACTTAGATTCTGAAATTTCATGGCTCCTGCCTATTTTTGCTGTGCCTAGCCATTCCCTTTCCCTCCTTGCTTGTATTCTTGCCCAGATTGGAAGTTTTGAGGATGGTGGAGTAAATTAGCCACTCCTCTCTGGTGGTGGCAACAAAAATGTCAAGGACAAGGCTCTGGTTGTCTAGTCAACTTGTTCCCCTTGTATGACTCAAAGGGACATGTCCATAGTCCAAAGGATATTGGAGACAGGGATGGGAGCTAGGTAGGGTGTGTAACATTCCTGAACAGACCAAGCAGTAGATGGAACCACCCAGGATTCAGGAGCGGGTGGGATGGGGGTGGGTGGGATACAATAATCACTTACCCCCTTTCCCTTTCCTGTCCACAACAGCAGGGAGCTGAGGGTGATGACAGACCAGGGAGAAAACTGGGGAGGAAAGGACTAGAATGATTTGTGGTGTCACTATCCAGCTGATTCTTTGGGAGTTCTGTGATCCCTTCCGTGAGAAGTGGACCCTGTCTTACATTTCACCCAGGATTGCCTAAAGCGCGAGGAAGGAGGAAGGGGGCACAGATAATGCAAATAATCTCAGCTGTGGGCTAACATTTGAATACAGTAGGGCCATGTCGCTGTCCCTGACTCCCCAGCTCTCCCAGCATGGAGTATTTCTATCTTTACAGTGTAGGGATTGGGCACATTTTGATCTAAAGCCCTTTCTGGTGCTGCAGGCAGTTTAGGGGGATGTAATTGACAGGAGTTGAGGAACTGGCAGCAACTGGCTTCTGTGGAAAACTGTGTCATGCAGTTCTTGGCAAAGGTGAGGTCTGGGTGGGCTGTGTTGTGCTGGGTGGGGAGAGAAAGGGGAGGTGGGCATGGGGACAGGAGTGGGGAGTGATCTGAGCTGCAGAAGGGCCATGCCCTGCCCACGCACCCTCAGACTCACGCCTGCCTGTCCCAGGCCCTCTGGGCTCACCTTGTGTCCCCCACCTGCACTTTTGCCTAGCCCTGGGCTTAGGAGTCACCATGGCGACCGACGAGTCCATCATCCGCATCCCCCCGTACCACTACATCCATGTCTTGGACCAGAACAGCAATGTGTCCCGTGTGGAGGTCGGACCAAAGACCTATATCCGGCAGGACAATGAGAGGTTGGTGTGGGAACTGGGGATCCTTGGGGCCAAGGAGGGCCTGCTAGTCCAACTGGCATAATCCTCCTTCTCCTGCCCACTGTTCCCGGGCAGGGGTGGCCCTCACTTGGGTGACAGGGAGGTTTCTCTTGCATTTGCTGCCTCTTTGGGGAGCGGAAACCTGGGTGCTCACACCTGTTATCACCCTCCAACAGGGTGCTGTTTGCCCCTTTGCGCATGGTGACTGTCCCCCCACGCCACTACTGCACAGTGGCCAACCCTGTGTCCCGGGATGCCCAGGGCTCAGTGCTGTTCGACGTCACCGGGCAAGTACGGCTTCGCCACGCTGACCTAGAGATCCGGCTGGCCCAGGATCCCTTCCCGCTATACCCGGGGGAGGTGCTGGAGAAGGTATCTGTCTTGCCTCCCCCTTACCCCATTCCACCTGTCCCGCCACCTTGTCCCAGGTCTCTGCTGAAGGGAAAACAAGCCGGGGCAGTGGGAGGGGTGGGATGGATGTCTTCTGGCTCTCACCAGGGGCAGAATGGACTCACTGGACCCCTGTTCACCTTCCCCAACCACCCACTTCCTCCACACTTGCCCCAAACAGACTGACCCCTCCTTTGAGAACTCTTGGCCCGGCCCCTCTTGCCACCTGTTCTGTCAGGTTCCAGAGCCTGCCAGAAGCACCTGGCCAGTCTAGTGCTGTGAGTGGTGCCAAGGTTAAGCACTTTATTCACTCAAACAGTGCCGGACACTGGTGGGCAGTGACCACTTCAGTGGACAAGACAAGGTCCAGGCCCAGAGGCCTGAGCCTGCTCCATGGAAAGCCATCGCTCCAGCCAGGCCCTGGTCCATGTTGCCTGCGGGCCCGGGCCTGAGCCAGGGGCATCCCACCTTTGGTTTTTTAACTGTTCTCCTGCTATACTTTCTTGCCATTTTATGCTTTTTGACTCTGAGCTCCTCTACTGACCAGCACTTACTGATCCTGAACACGTGAGGCGTGACCTGGGGAGCTTTTAGAGACAGTCGTGTCCAGTTAGATGCAGACAGTTTGGGGAAGAAATGCGTGTCTAGAGAGAAAAAATGATAAGGAATGATTGAAATGTTAACCCTTAAGGAATCTGAGTGAAGAGTGTGCAGGAATTCTTTGTACTATTTTTGTAACTTCTTTGTAAGTCTGAAGCTGTCAAAATGAAAGGTTAAAAAATCCGGGCTAGCCAGTTAGCTAATTTAGTTAGAGTATGGTGCTCATAACACTGAGGTCCAGGGTTCTATCCCTGTGCTGGCCAGCCGCCAAAAAAAAAAAATCCACATCCAGGTTGTACCTCAGACCGACGAAATTCCCCTCTGGGTGAGGAGTGGTGGGTGAGGTGGGGGAGGTTGGGAACCAGAATTTAAAGCTCCCTGGGGCCGGCTCAGTGGTTCACTTGGGAGAGCGGGGTGCTGACAGCACCAAGTCAGGGGTTAAGATCCCCTTACCGGTCAATCCCTGGCTGAGAGTAAAAGCTTCCCTTCTCCCTGCTGGCTCTCCCCTCCACTTCCCAGCAGCCCCTGTCCACGGCTGCTTGTTCCCTCCCACCTGACCCTGACCTGCCCTGGACCAGGGGGGCAGCAGGGCCACATGATGCTGATGCTCCTTGTCACTATCACTGCAGGCAGCACCTGGTGCAGGCCTCCCTCATATCCTTGCAAGGAGCCTGCCAACAACTTTGAGAACAGCCTTTTTTTTTTTTTTTTGGTGGCTGGCTGGTTTGGGGATCTGAAGCCGTGACCTTGGTATTATAAGGCTGTGCTCTAACCAACTGAGCTAACCAGCCAACTCAAAAACAAACTTCTTGACCTCAACTCTGACCCTCACCACCTCCTCTGTTCTGCTTCAGCCCACACCCAGTGCCATGTCCACTCTGGCCTTGGTTATTCTCCTACCTGCCTGCCTGCCCCCCACCCCCACCCACC